TGGCGTGAGGTTAAGACCTACTCTGTGGCTGTATCCCTACTCTCCTTCCTTCTCCTCTTACTTATTTCCCTTACCTGAAGTTCCTGTACCCTTAAGTTAAGTATTATATGGTGTAAGTGTGCCTACTCTGGTAGTAACGATTGGGGAGACCTGGGGATAGTATTTTGCCAGTGTTTGGGTACCCCTAAGTGTTGTGTTTTGTATTAGGGTCCCACGTGGTTTCACTACCCTAAGCTGCATCCAGCTTCAGTGCTTATCCAGTAGTACTTTACCCTAGCTTGTTATTAGTGTAAACCTTGTATCCTGCCTACGTGGACCAAGGCTTTTAACGTAAGATAGTGTGGTAAAGTTATTATTATTATTGTTATTGGTGTGAGTGTATATGGGGGGTTGTTAAGGGGTTAATAAATAAGTACATGAATTACAGAGTATCTCTTCTTCCAAGGTGGGAGCGCAGTGATCTTCTAACTACCTATACCCCTTAATAGTACCAGTACCCCATAGAAGCCCCACTCATATCATTTATAACAGACATGTGACATGTAATTGCCAGAATTAGGCTAGGATATCGATATGTATCGCAGGTGGCTGCAGGTAATGAATAGCCCCCAATGGTGAATATTCCAATTGTAAACTATGTGAACAAGAGCTGGGACATACTCACCAACACTATATCTGTGATTGCCCTGTTATAAGTGACTTCAGACCAAATGGTATAAGGTACTTTGAACTCTGTAATTACTTCATACACTTAGGAATATTGGAAGATATTCTTATGCTGTACCCGGATTTTGCTAACGGAGGCTAATAGATCAGCCTTATATTTTATGTTCTCACCTGATTGTTACCTTGAGGTAGGCCCGTAAGTGGTAGTCCTCTTGAACCATTAACAGTATCAATAGATGATACTGGAGATCTGTGGAGGTGCGACTGGACCCTGCGTGACGGGAGATGTATCCCTTGTTTCTTGTGATTGATTGATGAGGATTAAGCCACCCAAAAGGTAGCACGGGCATGAATAGCCCGTAAGTGGTGTTCTTGTTAGTCACAGTTGATTTTTTTTTATTGAGGCTGGTATTTTATCCCCTGATTCCATGTATAACTAACCATCCTGTGAGATGGGAATATTTAATGAACTTATAGCTAGTTTTTGATATACACTGTGTAATCTTTCAAATAGAATAGGGTAGCAGCACATTACTGTGTATACCTAAGCTTGTTAATAATAACAAAAAAAAAGTTAGTTTCTATCGATAGGGAGAGCGATGGTTCAAAAATCCTTCTTTAAAATATGAATATCTTTCCTATCTCACTAAGATCTAATCTCTGTGATTAAAATGCAAAATTGACTTTGTCACTGCCTTTTTGATAACGTATACAATCATAAGCTTTGTGAATCTCTATTAAACAGTAAATCAGAGAGCGTGTAAGGTTCCGTGTTCCATGTCCGAAGAAACAGGGAGATTTTACATAAATACAGTACATGATAGTTTAAGTAGCGAACGCATACCAACAAATAACGATTAGTATCTATAACAAAAATATTGTTCTATGGAGTTGATTTAACTTCCAACCATGTATTTTTAAATAATCTTTAACGTTTTCTGGCTAGTTATGTTAGATTTGATTAAAAATACGCATTCTACTTGTTAATATCGTTAGATTTGATTAAAAATACGCATTCTACTTGTTAACATCATAAATTAAATTTGCGATAATTTGAGCAGAGAAGTTCGACGACTGGATGACTGTGTACAGAAGGTTGATATGCCAGCAAACACTTTCCAGAGAGCAATATATCTTGGATAAGTCGCTCCACGATATTGTTGCTTGGACCATCGACTTCCTTTGATATTACATATTTACATCTTATTTTGTTATTAAATGATATTTTTTCAGAGTAAAATTATGTTTTCTCATTTTCTGCATCCAGCATCCACATTATAGTGAGTAAATATACCATATTACTTCATTGCTTACGTAATGCTAGGAAGGTTTGAGTAGCTTTGGGTCTTTAGTGGACAGAATCTCCAATAGATGGGGTGAGAGTCGCCCCATCTCTCTCGACCGGGCGGGACTCGAAACTTAAATTAAAATTGCTATATCATTGGTCTCCAACATGATATATTTCCTTTGATGCACTCACAATAACGATTATAGCTCTGTCTTTCTGGAGGCATGTAATATTTTAGGTTTTATTAGCGTATCTTTGTTAATTACACAACATATTGGCAAGTGCGTAGGCGTCTGCACTCCATGACCGAAAAGCTACTGAACGCCACTATAAAAACATATATATCTTCACTTGAGCTTTAAATATGTCTAATGTAATGTATTTAAAATAAAGCTTATATTTCTATCCTTCTTAAGACGTGTAAAACATTTGTGTTTATTAACGAATTTACGAGAAATAAACATTCTTCTGAGAGTTGCTCTGTCGCTCAGTCTATGCGGGGGTCGGAGCTCGGCGATTATTAATTAAAATACATGAATCTTCATTAGAACTTTAATTATGTCTATGATAAAGTGTTTAAAATGAGCCTTATATTCCTATCTTTCTTGAGGCATATAAAAAATTTACGATTATTTACAAATTTACATGAAATAAGCATTGTTCTGAGAGAGAGTTGCTCCGTCGATCGATCTGTCCGGAGTCAGAGCTCGGCTATTATAAAAGTACACGTATCTTCGCTTTAAATTTAAATATGCCCATGGTAAGGTATTTAGAACGAAGCTTATATATCTGTCTTTCTTGTGACATAAAACTCTTACGTTTATTAAGGAATCTGCGTGAAATAGGCATGGTTCCGAGATGAATGCTGCGGTTTTCGAGTTTGACGAGCGATGAAAACTGCCACTTTTATACAACTACAAATATCTTCGGTTTTACTTAAAATATTTGTCTGGTAGAGGTTTTACATATAGATCGCGTTTCTGTCTTTCTTCTGACAAATAATAATTTTGGTTTAATCAGTTATCAAGATGTTTTCAACAATATTCTTTCAGCGTTCGTCTTTTCCAACTTGGGCGACCCTTTTGGAAGCGCGATACTTGGGTTAACCCATCCTATAGTTGGGTCTGTTTCCAACTGGGGTTCGAATAGTGATAATGGGTCCTATTACATCTGTCCAGGGAGAGTTTCAGAGCATGGTTTGTATTTAAGAACAGGGTTTTGTAAATGTAGTTGACAAGAGAATGTGTGGAGGGAGTTAATATTTAGCAAGTTTAGGGATTTAAACAAGGGAGCAGAGTGTTGTCTGAAAGAGTTACTTATTATTCTGATAGCAGATTTTTGCTGTGATGATGGGCTTAAGGTGGTTTGCAGTGGTAGACCCCCATGCACAGATACCATAATTAAGATAGGGGTAGATTAGTGCATAATATAGTGAGAGGAGAGCAGAGTTAGGAACATAATATCTGATTTTGGAGAGTATACCAACTGTCTTAGAGACTTTCTTAGTTATGTGTTGAATGTGGGTGCTGAAGTTGAGTCTCTTGTCTAGGAATAGGCCAAGAAACTTGCCATCATTTTTATTACTGATGTTAATGTTGTCTATCTGTAGCCGAATTGCATTTGATGATTTGCTTCCAAATAAGATGTAGCAAGTCTTTTCGATGTTTAATGTTAGTTTGTTCGTTGACATCCATAAGTGGACTTTTTTTAATTCATTATTCACAACATTATTTAGTGTATGTGGGTTGAGGTTTGAATAGATAAGGGTAGTATCGTCAGCAAACAATATAGGTTTGAGAATATTAGAGACATTAGGCAGATCGTTTATATATATAAGAAATAGAAGAGGTCCTAAGATGCTGCCCTGTGGCACTCCAACGGTAATTGGTAGAGTGGAAGAAGTTGTATCATTGATGGTTACATATTGGTGTCTGTCACTAAGATAGGATCGGATGTAGTCAAGGGCAAGGCCTCGGATTCCATAATGCTGGAGTTTAAGTAAGAGGTAGTTGTGATTAACAGTATCAAAGGCTTTTCTTAGGTCAATGAAGAGTCTGAATGAAGAGATATATGTAAATCTGATGGAAACATCAGATTTACAACTCAAATGCTGAGCTGTACAGACCACAGGCCACCACACTTCTGAAACTAATGACAAGAATCAGGTGTCACTATCAGTCTCTTCCAGGTTGCATGATTACAGCATCCATCTTGAGCACAGTCCTGATTCCACCAGGGAATGCACTTCTACATAGCACAAAATGTACAGCAAGGAACAGAGTGGAGGGCAGCAAGTCACGAAAAAGGAGGCGCGCTTGAGAGAGAGGCAGTTCAGAGGTTGGAATGAATAACATCGAGTGAATACATCAGTCTGCCTATCAAACCGCTACCTAGGGAGGAAAGAAAAGGTGGTCACGAGGACGGGGAAATGGTCACCGTTATGGACATCAAGACCCTTTCATGTCATGTCTACACAAATAGAGGAGCCGAGAATGATCAACACAGGAAAGGGTGCAAGTGCACGAGTCAACATGGCTTGCCAGAATTCAGGAAGCAACGAAGAGAGGATGAAAGGTTCTAGAAGGCTGGCATAGGCATCAGGACAAGGATGGGAAATAATGTAGGCACAAGGGTTGGGACATGGAACATTCACAGAAAAAAGAAAATAAGCAGGTGTAATACAAACAAGAATGTGTGCTTTGTACTAACTGCTCAAAGTATCAGAGGCAATGCCAATTGTGGTGGTCCTGTAACTATGGAACACTGGTTTCTACATGAAACCTACACAGTAAGGCCTTTGGGTACATGCCCTCCTCGCTTCTCCACACTATTACCCATTATGCATAAATTATTAAAAAGTAGAATATTTTAATATTCAAGCATTGCAAAACAAGAAAAGACAAGTACTGTAAAATAAAAATACTATTGAAACACTTTTACCCGAGAATGACACTGCAAATTTGTTATTACAGTATAGCTTCAGTAGATAGGACATAGATAAAATTAAATTAAAACAATATACCTGTATTTAGGATAATCAAAGTCATTTTGGAAATGTCCATTTGCTGAGAAAATACAACTGTAAAAATACACAAACAAAATGCAGTTTCCATAGGTCTATACATTATATTCTTGCTACGTAACAGGGACAAGGGAAAATTCAAAACCCTCTGAAAGCACACTTACCAAATAGACAAAGCTATACATTGGTGTATTACCATGAATATCAACATACATTAACATCTTTTATTCATGGTTTACAGAATTTAAAGCAATAAAGTATCAAAACAATATATACACATTCCCTGCACATGCTTCGCTTACTTTGACTAAGAGCCGCTTTACTATACCCAAACAATTTTATACATATAATGAACTGTATAATAATGTGCATTTTGCATTTCATTGTTGTGATCTTTTAACAATACCAAATTTAAGCCACTGATCTAAAGCTGAAGTTACGAGTATTTCTGCCTCATCCTTTCGTATCATATTTATGATGCTTCTTGCATTTTCTACAGATGACACTGACATTAGAGGCTGCTTAAGGTGCACAAGTAAGGAAAATATAACAAAAGCAAACACCCTAAATGCACCAGCAATCACCTTGTCTAGTATTTTCTCTACAGCCGTCTCGGGAAATATGTCGCAGAAAAGGCTGAGGCACAAGTCCACCAACAAAGTGCTGCTGAAAAGCCCTACTTTCATCAAGTGACGATGAAGAGAGTCATTTTCCTTGCGCAGCATCCCAATTGCCTCCATAACGGCATTCGATATGGCGGTCTCGTTTTTCCGAAGCAATGAGTAGAGTGCCGAGCTCACATGAAAAACATCTACTGGATTGTCAAACAAATTTTGAATTTTTATAACAATTTTGAGGAAATGCTGGTATGCTTTATACTTCAATTGATCTTTTGGGCTATAGAGAAGCTTCGCTTCACTTATTAACCACATAAGCAAATAATTCTCAGGAATTGGTATGTCATACCCATCTTTATTTTTATGCTTTGTATTTACTTCATCAATAACTGGAAGAGTTAGATCACTTGAACTATCATTTCCCAAGACCACAATATTTTGGAGACCCATACTTTTAAGAGTACGCCACAATTCTTCAAACATCAGAGTTTGTTGCTGCCTCACATAATCTTGCGACTCTGCGTACCGTGGAGTTACATGCAACAACAACTTCCAAACTAGGAATCTATATGCGCCTGGGACGACAGAACGTTGACAAAAATTTGAAAATTTCCTCTCGTCCAATGGCTGCTCCTTAAACAATGCTTCCACAGCTCTTTTATCTTCTACTTCACGTAGTCCAACTTTGCCATAAAACTGACTACGGAAATTTCTTTCGTCACCCATTCTGACACAGTAGCTACTCTCCAGAAAATTTACAAGATTATTGTAAAAATCAAAAAATAAATACAAGTGAAAATATTTCTTTCCTAAAATTGGAAATCAAAGAATTGTTCACGTTCAGCTGTTAAGTGTACACAATGTACTGGAAAACTGCCACATTTACGACAAAAAATCACTCTGGCGTGCATTCGTTGTCACTACCACTTGCCTCAAGAACAGCAGAACCAGTAATCATACTGAGGTCATTGAACTTGTTACAAAGTGTGCCGAGTTGAACTTGCATGGATGACATTACCAACTGTTGCTGCTGCTGAAACTCCAATACTTCACTCAATATTTGATTAAGCTGGCCTCTGAGATTCTTCACATTATTTATGAGTTCTGTAAAAACCTGCAATCAATAAAACTTTTTAAACTGCCTGCCATACCATCAGATACTACTATAATGCAATCTTGCACTAACCAAAATGGTGTGCACAGCCTAGGTCAAATGCCACGATTACTACTATCATTGTCAAAGAACTACACAGTCTTTGAAATGTCTCAACGTCCACTTCACTATAGTTTGACTACTAAGTCAAATAAGTAATGCTGCAGGTTACTCAATAGGAATTACAGTACCTATTCAAAAAAATGCACAAGCAAAGACAAGGCAATTACCATGAGGTTATGATTATATAAGCACTCTGAAGGTATAGGATAAGAATTTAGGATATGACAGGAAAGGAATGGTGCCCAACCACTTTGACAATTGGGAATTTAATGCAAATCCACATGAAGCAAGGCCGTACCACTGTCCGTGTGGTTAGAGAGGATTGGGTAAACAGATTAGGAAAATGTGAAAAAGGGAATACTATTTTTCTCAGTCCTATGAATGTTTCTTATGCATTAGTAAATACAAATTAATTGGTAGGCCTAATTGACCTGCAATTCACATTCTGTGCTTGTAAGAAAACTTAAAGAGGACATTCATTTATCTTTTACCGGCTGGTGGAGATGTCTTTAGAACCATTCTAAACTGGTTTAGCAGTCAAAGTTAAAAGAATCTACTCTATGGCAATATAAATCAAGCAGTCTTAAAACCCCCTCATAATTATAGGTACAAAATTATCTCATTCACCTGGACTGTATGGGTCTGGACCCCACACACGCGAGTATTACAAAATTTTAGTACTATAGTCTCAACTGAATACAGGTTCATAATAAAAATGTCATGTACTGTACAGTACTTTTAAATGCTAATGAAATTCACATGAACTATTTAAATTTATGACTGCAGTTACAAGCAAATTTTTTTTTTATACTGTATATATATATAAACTAATGTTATTTGTTGTACATTAGATAAAGATTTTAATTTACATAACCATTACCATGGTAAAACATTTTTTTCCATTTGCGAGGAGTGATGCTTAAAGTTTCCATCACACTGTCTAAACCTGAAGCACAAGCATTACACTAATGTAAGACTAAGTCAGTCCTTGCTCAAGAGCAATGCATCTTCCACTCAAGAACCAGACATACCAGAAGAACGAAGCGAGACTAAAGGCATAAAGTGAAGAAACTCAGGAAAAAAACTATAAGCAACCAAGGTCAGGATCTGCAAAAAAAAATCAGGGCTAGGTCATGTAGGCAAATTGAGCAATGAAGTTAGGGGGCAAACCTCACTTCCTTGCCTGTCAGGGGGCAAGGAAGGGAGTTTGATCATGCAGTCACAGTTTGGGAGAAGTTAGCAGCAAGAAGACTTTGGTAATAAGGTTCTAGTGCAAGGACAGTCTAACTTCTAAATGAGGGCAGACATGACAGAAGGGTCAGAGATAAAGAGGCATTTTCTTTGAGAAGAGGAGCTATATGGCTTACACTTCTGCTCAGACGATGAGTATGGGGTATAGGTGGAGAGGTGTGGTGCTTACAATAGTTTGTCATGTCCCTTACATCCTCACCTGGAGATTAATGCTCTGTGTGACAATGTGACTGAACATCAGCTGTGACCGTTAGGGCAGCAGGAATGACTAAAGGCAGATCAATCAACCAAAGTGGAGAATGGAGATTGAGCTGGAAGGTATCCCCTCATAGGCAATGAACACGAGAGAAGAGAGCAAAGGACTGGCAGGGGAGGGTAGGAAGTAGAAGAGGATGTGGTGAGGGAAGAGGGCCGAGAGAGAAGCTCCTGGCTGCACACTGTGGAGGGGGAAGGAGAATAATGCATATCAGTTAAGGTCCCAGTGGCAACCTAGTTGATGGGGTTCTGGGAGTTCTACTACTCCCCAAGCCCGGCCCGAGGCCAGGCTTTACTTTTGAGAGCTTGGTCCACTAGGCTGTTTGGAGCGGCCCGCAGGCCCACATACCCACCACAGCCCGGTTGGTCCGGCACTCCTTGGAGGAAATCTAGTTTCCTCTTGAAGATGTCTACGGTTGTTCCGGCAATATTTCTTATGCTCGCTGGGAGGGTGTTGAAAAACCGTGGACCTCTTATGTTTATAGAGTGTTCTCTGATTGTGCCTATGGCACCCCTGCTCTTCACTAGTTCTATTCTGCATTTTCTTCCATATCGTTCACTCCAGTACGTTGATATTTTACCGTGTAGATTCGGTACTTGGCCCTCCAGTATCTTCCAGGTGTATATTATTTGGTATCTCTCGTCTTTCTAGCGAGTACATTTGGAGGACTTCGAGACGATCCCAGTAATTTAGGTGCTTTATCCCGTCTATGCGTGCCGTATATGTTCTCTGTATTCCCTCTATTTCAGCAATCTCTCCTGCTCTGAAGGGGGAAGCGAGCACTGAGCAGTACTCAAGACGGGACAACACAAGTAACTAAGAGTACAACCATTGTGATGGGATCCCTGGATTTGAAAGTTCTCGTAATCCATCCTATCATTTTTCTGGCTGATGCAATATTTGCTTGGTTATGCTCTCTAAACGTTAGGTCGTCAGACATTCCCAAATCCTTTACATGCCGTTTTCCTACTATGGGCACATTTGATTGTGTTTTGTACCAGTGGCAAGGACAAACTATTCTGAAGTAGGGGACAGGAAAAGTGTTAAAAGCCCTTGACAAGCACCAAGAAATAATTTTTAGATTTTAAATTAATTCAGTAGACGGGAATTCAGGCAGCCAAATAAATTTTTGAACAAATGATCACGAGACTGATCCAATGGCAAGTTTGGTATAGTATTAGTATAAGGAAAATGAACGTTACTTAAGGACTATTCCTTATTCAAGCTACCAGGATTGGAGGCACACCACTAGATTTAGGTCTTCTACCCAATACAGCGGTACCTCTGTTTACGAATGCCTCTACAAATTTTTCTGGTTACAAGCCCGATTTCTTTGGAAAATTTGAATCTGGTTACGAACTTTACCTCGGGATACAAGTTTGTTGATACTCTTATGGCCGACCTAGCACGTGGTGGTACAGTGATCGCGCCTCGGTTTCCCAGTGCCTCCCGCCTAGTGACAATCCCGCCTGAATTCTTTGCAAGGATTTAGTTTCTTTTCGGATTTTTGGCTATTTGAGCATAAAAGTAGCTGTTATACATCTCCATGGGTACCAAGAAAGCTAGTGGTAAGGTTCAAGGCAAGAAAACATGCGAGAATGACCCGTAGAGGAAAAAAACAAGAGATCATTTGTAAACATGAAAATGGTACACATGTTATTGAACTAACTAGGCAATATAACAAATCTTCAGGGAAGGAGAGGATGAGGCAGTAGAGGATGTCCCTTCCTCATTAAGAAAATGTGTGCAGTATGGAAAGAACTGCAAAGTTTTGCTGAAAGAATTACCCAGATAAAGCTTTAGCAGGCCGTTGCAGTGATCTTATTAATGACAATGTAATGTCTCACTACAGACAAGTGTTACAAAGAAGGGAAAACAATCAAGAAAAAAAAAATGAGAAAATCATGCAGAGAGCCAGTATCAGGTCCTAGTGGTCTGCAAGCAAAACGTGCCAGAGTGAGTACCCCAGAGAAGTCCTCACTGCCTGATGTTATAATGGAAGGGGACTCCCCTTCCAAACACTAAGACCTCACCTCCCCCACCCTCTTTCTCCTCACAGTCTTCCATATGCCAACGTAAGTCATCAACAAAGGTATGCAATAACTTGAATATTAGTACTAAAGATTTGGGCGAATTAGGTATAAAATTTACTTTGAAGTTAATATTTTGGGAAGTGTGGAATGGATTAATTCAATTTACATCATTTCTCATGGGAAAATTTGCTTCAGTTTATAAATTTTCGGGTTACAAACTGTCTCTGGGAACAGATTAAATTAGTAAGCTGAGGTACTACTGTATAGGACTGGGAAGGGGTCAGGATAAGGATTTGGGATGGGACAGGGGGAAACGAATGGTGACCAACCATTTTGATGATTGGGGATTGAACGCCGACTTGCATGAAGCGAGAATTGTTCTACCATCCAGTCAAAGTGGCTGGGTGATATTCCTATGTTAGTAGGGAAGAGTTATTACAGGAAAATACTATAAAAATAGAGCCCTACTTTTACATTTTAACTAACATCACGATGAATCAGTTCATTCCCACCTTTTCCCTCCCAACTCTTGTAAAGATTCACAGGGGTATTTTCCCCACTTCAGTTTGCATACAAGTTAGAATGCCCAGGAATAACCAATCCATCCCGGTTTACCATAACCGAGTAATACTTTACGCAAAAGTAACAAGAGAAATGAGCTATCTATATTGTAAATAGTACACAATTTACCAAAAAGCATTTTATCCTATTTTAGAAGCAGGCAGCATGTGATTTAGCCATAATTATTAAACCTTTATAAATAGCAGAATTTAAATGATAAACTGCACTGTTTAAAAAAAAAAAAAGTAATCTAGGTTATACCCCCAGCTATGAGTTTACGTGATGGTTTACCCTAATCACTGTCATTGATAAATGGTGTCAAAAGGGTGAGCAGGTGCAGGAAACAAATATACACGAGGTAGGAAATTGAGAAGGGCGTGTCAAAAACCACCTTAATGTGGAGGTACATTTTAAGAAGGCTGACCGTGTTGAATAATAAGATTGCTCCAATTAAAAATCACGCAGATTAACTGTGGCCACCTGCCAGAATATGGTTCAAATCTTACTACTTTACAACAGTTGCACAGTGCACTTATTGAGAGTGTCTTGTGCGTGTGTTTATACCGTGATACAGGTGAGGGAGGGGAGGGGTTATATCTCTGGTGATTTAGATTTTTTTTTTTTTTTTTGAGTGAATTTTTTACAGTAACCTTCAGGGATCATACATCCTACTGATTTTTTTTTTAATTAAATGCCCTTATTATGATGCTCAAAAAAATATTTGCCTTGCAATGCCCACAAGAAATGAACCTGTATTTTGAAATTACTCTTCACACATTTTCCCCAAATGTTCATCTGTGGATATCTTCCATGTTATTTTTTGCAGTTTATGCAAATAAACAAGTAAGGGCAGCTTTGTAACACATCACAAAATGTAAAACAAACCAAGAAAATTGCTTGTTGCACACTAACTGAAAATTAAAAAATGACGCAAGTATCCAAACCTGAGAGTCAACGCCTTGTGACGCAGCCAAAACCGAGAACTCTTTGTTAATCATGCACGACAGAGTCGCCAATTCACTTTCTGCCTTGCCAAACTGAAAAAAAAAAATTGAATACAAAATTAAATAAAAATTACACAGTATAACTATGCATGTGCAATGTGAATTATTTAGGGGCCCCAAAATCAATTTATTTTTTACTGATTTAAATGTTTGTATTTTGAAGACTAGATTATAAGCCAAATGTTACATAATTTAAATTGATATGGCAGGATTTTTTATGCCAATTCTGGCACAAATCAAAATATCAAAATGCCCCATTTTAGGTTTTCGAGTCCTGTGCCACGTTTATTTTTTTTATCCGATTTTTACAACTTTCACAATATGCTTATCAGTAGGATTTACAAATCCAAGTTAAATTTGTGAACAAGTTTGTGAATAGATTTTTTGGCCGAGAGAAAAAAAAAAAAAAAAAAAAAAAGATTCATGATCTTTTTTGTATGAGGAAACAATTTTGGCGTGTTTCTCAGATTAACATCAGCAGCATATGTAAAGTTAGCACACGTAACCGTAATTTGTCATGTATGAGGCCGTCAAGTCCATACATTGGTTATTCATGACTATTACTCAAGTATGCAGCACCACTATGGAAGCTACTCATAATGAAGCACAAACTTTCAGTTCAGAGACTTACAACTAGATTGGTACCAAAATTAATTGTCCTCAGCTGTGAGGACAAATGGAGAGAGAACAACTTTTAGAGAAGAAGTAGAAGAGATGATGCAAGATTTGGAGGGGAATAGGCAAATTGAACCAAGGAAGCTTTAAATTAAAAAAAAAAAAAAAAAAAAAAAAGATAATGGGACACCAATGGAAGCTAAATACTTAAGAGTTTAAGAGATATCAGGAAGTTCTCATTACCTACACTTGTGGTCAGTAAGTGGAATGCATTGAAAGAGGTTGAAGCCAATTCTAGTCAAAACTAGAAAATTACAATGAAAAATGTTAAATGTCGAGTCGTGATTCACTCGGGGGGTTATAAACTAGGAGGCAGGACAGAGATCTCTTCCCTGTAGTCACTGATATACAAACATGTCACCGATTTTACTCCATGAAACTATTAAGGGTCACTATAGATGCTGACAATTCTTCAAGTGTGGTATAGAGTTGAGGGGGGGGGGGGGGTTTGACCCCCAACTGACTTATGGTACCCTCATAACACCTTCACCCCACTCCCCCACATTATTTATCCTCGAATTATAGCCAATTGGACCTGGATCACCTTGGAGCGATTATAGCCTCAAGTGTCTGGCTTCTAACCTCGCACAGGCAAACAATTTTTTTTTTTTTTTTACAGATATAGATGTTAATGATGTCCATTTCAAAATAATTATTTCCATACTAAACAAGACACACATTTGTAGTTTTTAAAGTGTGTATCTTATGAGCTTTTAAAATCCTGTTTAAATATCTCAAGTTAGAGATAGTAGGCCAAAAAATTAACAATCTAAACGCTTCTCCCAAAGAATAAATTGGGTTTATTGGGTTCTCGGTACTGGGTGCCTCAGAATTCCCCATTATCAAACCTCCCTTTCCTCAGCATGCTTGACACCTCCAGAAAACCTTTGTCTTGGGAGCCACCGGAGTACACTGGTACACCTAGAGTGGATTCAGAGTTATTCTACACAAAATCTGTCTTGGGGTCTAGCTTGTTTGATAACTGACCACCTTCTGAATCACTCCTTCCTGCCTCCCAGTCCTCTACCAAACACTACAATTGTACCGAAATATTCGGATATTGTATACCGATTAATATTTATTACCACGGCAAGGATACTAGTGCAAATTAAATTTTTAATTGTAGTGTAGGAGAGGAAGGGTGGAAAGGAGGATGGAAAAGTGGGAGGGGAGGGCAGGAAGGGGTTATAGGGTGTAAGAGTGGGATGGGGAAGAGGCGGGAAATATCAAGTCTGGAACCATTAGGTAACGCTTCTAATAAATCTAAACTAAGCATTGTGGCAGTGGTATGATAGTTGTCATGGTGGTGGTGACCCCCTACCCCATAATGGTGGGGAGTGGGTCAAGAGTCCCCCCTACTTTATATCATACAACACCATTTACAATTCTTTAGCCTGGACACTGGAATACATTTGTTTCAAGTGCACTGGTCACGATGATGAATCTCTTGTACATCGGAAAGGGTCAAGTGCCTTACTCTAGTGAAATAAAATCCTATTTAACCCTTACTGAAGAACTATGGATAACCTATAGTACTGTGGAGGGGGCTGCCTATGGTGTAAGTCTGCCAACCTACAGGCACATGGCTCAAGAGGTGCCAGTGATGGCCCCTACTACTTCGATGCCTGTCGGCGATGGGCATTTACTACGTTACTTATTTCCACATTATACCATAACTGCTCTACATATTAGCAGCATTATCCATATTACTCTTTGTCTTATAAAAAAAAACGGTTCTTGTATTCTATATACATGCCAGTTTTTGTCTAGAACTTTTTTTTTATTATTAGGTTGGTTGTTTAGGTTAGAATACCAACGAGATTCATTTTTATCATACACCTTACAACCTAAATCCAACGGAACAGGTGTCCCGGGTCGTCAGAACAGTTTGTAGTGTTTAACCGATGGGGAAATAACCCACACGAAACATTACTATAAAAGGGGAATGGTCAAGTGGAACAAATGTTTCGACAAAGCTGGTTTCCGTTAAAATAATGGTATAGATCATTAGTTCAGTCGGTATAAAAGCAACTGGCAAGAAGCTATAAGAGAAGCTATATAGGAAGAAACCTCCCATAGCACAATTAAAAAATACTTTCAAATGTTTACACAAAGCAAAAGTGCCAGGGAAAAGGTGCACCAAATACCTGTCACTGAACACAACATATCCGTCTCCACCGTTGTCAGTCACACACTTACAAGGACCTCTAGTTTCTGGGCAGCTGGTTCCATATTCCGTAGCAGGCAGGTGTTGGTGGTGGCGTCATGCAGGTGTTGAGAACATGTGTGTGTGGGAGAGAGAGAATGTTGTTGCCTCTCACAGTGGTGTTGTTGTGAGGATGCGTCCAATACTCAGCCTAAACCTCACCTCCTATATTTCCTCCTTTTAAACCTCTAATTATATATATATATTCATGCTACTGTGGTTTAGCAATATATTTTATATGTGGATTTTTTGTCTTCGAAGATTCTTGAAGATTATTTCAGCTTCAGGCGAGCTCAATTTTAAATCAGCTTCGGCTTAGCCTTAATATTTGGTCGAATATCATTTTAACGAATATATTAGAACAAAGAATAAATTAAAAGGATTATAATAATTTTTAAATGTGTGAAATATTTTATTGATAATGTTACAGAGTTTACATAAATATTTCAGTAGCGTTTTTATTATTTCGAAGCCACTATGAATAAATACGAACAGTTTTTTTTTCTGGCCAAATCTTTGAAAAAAAAAATAATTCGTCTGTTTATCATTCAAATTCACAAAAGTCAAAATAATTGATAATTTTATATTATTATTTTATTATATTAGTTTAATGTTTTAGTACATTTAGCTTGTTATTTTGTCTAGCAAAGTTACAGAGAGTTTAAGATTTATATATAATATATATAATGCATTCCTTCTGAAGATCTATAATTAATAATACGAAAGTACTTAAGGAAATTTCTGTTTCCATTCTTCCTCCGTGGTCTGACACTGTCATAATATATAATATTATATAAACGAAACGCTATGCGTGCTAGTGGATTTACAAGTATATAAAACTTCAAATCTCTGTACTCTAATAAACCCTATGTACCTTCGTGTATAAATAAGTAAATAAATAAATATAAAATATATAATATCTCCCCACCAAGAGTGTGCTGTTAGGGGGGCACCTTTGGCCTCGAGTGCCATTGAGGTCATCCTTGAAGGAAAGCTGAACGACCTGAAGAGGATGGCGGGAAGAATAGTAGTCTTAGGGTGCCCCGCGATCCTTGGTACCTCCTTACAAGGTGTATTGTGGGCCGCGCCAAGATTTTCTTTATCTTCATTACTCCAAGAGTTTCCTCATGTTATCCTTTATTTGTATGATTAGTTTAATAATATTCTGTTGCCTCTCTGCGAGATTGGTTTTGGATAGTGTTGAACCGTCTGTATGATTGGTTAAGGACGTTGACGAATCCCTACAGGCTTCGTTTAGAATCTTGTTGCCTTTGTGTATAATTAAGAATCCTGGTTACATATTCGCATCATTGGTTTAGGATTCATCTGTCTCTACGCGTGATTGGCTGAAAATTCGACTGCTATAATTGTCCCGACTGGTTAAGGATACAATCCTGTTTGATTGGTTTAGGGTCCAACTGCCTCTCTGTGATTGGTTAAGGTTCAACTGCCTCTCTGATTGGTTTAGGGTCCAACTGCCTCTCTATGATTGGTTTAGGGGCCAACTGCCTCTCTATGATTGGTTTAGGGTCAAACTGCCTCTCTGTGATTGGTTTAGAGTCCAACTGCCTCTCTATGATTGGTTTAGGGTCCAACTGCCTCTCTATGATTTTTTTAGGGTCCAACTGCCTCTCTATGATTGGTTTAGGGTCCAACTGCCTCTCTATGATTAGTTTAGGGTCCAACAGCCTCTCTATGATTGGTTTAGGGTCCAACTGCCTCTTTAAGATTGGTTTAGGGTCCTAACTGCCTCTCTATGATTGGTTTAGGGTTCAACTGCCTCTCTATGATTGGTTTAGGGTCCTAACTGCCTCTCTATGATTGGTTTAGGGTCCTAACTGCTTCTCTATGATTGGTTTAGGGTACAACTGCCTCTCTCTCTGTGATTGGTTTAGGGTCCAACTGCCTCTCTATGATTGGTTTAGGGTCCTAACTGCCTCTCTATGATTGGTTTAGGGTCCAACTGCCTCTCTATGATTGGTTTAGAGTCCAACTGACTCTCTCTGTGATTGGTTTAGGGTTCAACTGCATCCCTCTGTGATTGGTTTAGGGTCCAACTGCCTCTCTATGATTGGTTTAGGGTCCAACTGCCTCTCTATGATTGGTTTAGGGTCCAACTGCCTCTCTCTATGATTGGCTTAGGATCTAGCTCTCTTATTGGATAACTGGTTTTGCTATCTTTACCAATGCTGTGGTAAAGATAACAAAACCAATATAGATAGTAGTAAAGATAGTAGTACTGATGGCTATTGTTTTTTGTATTTACTATTGTCATCATTACAAAAAAAAAAGAGGACAAATAAAATCCCAAGAGAAATAAATAATTTATTTCAACAAAATGCATGATTTGTTCTTTGGCTCCGGAATATTTGGCTACACAAATTTAGTGTTGATTTCTTGTATGTTTGGTTAAAGCTACAGCTTCTGGTTATGTTCAATGTTCACTGATAATGTTGTTATGAATGTTCAAGTTATGAGTGAACGCGATACTGTACATAATTAATGTTAGAAATTCTAAACACGATTAGTTTAATATCATTTCCCATTTGGACTACTGGACCCACGATATAACTGCTTTTGGGAATAGGCTTGTACGTGGTTCTGATCAGCATGAATAGTCCAGATAGTTACGAAACGTAGTCGTAACCCCCCACGAATATTAGTGTCCAAACTACCAGACTACTAATGGTCTGAACCAGCTGACTAACACTGTAACAACTAATTTAAGAACACCAGCTTAGTCCTTATGGATAAATGATCCTTATGGATAAATGAGTTCTATGATCCTTATGGATAGCAACAGACAGTCATGGATAGTAATAGCTGGCTCTCCTGACAGCTATAGCCCACGGGAAGATGTTGACTGACGTGGCGCAGGTATTTACTCTGAAACGAGGCAATTAGCCCCTCCTAACGAGCCTGACTGCCAAGTCAACGAGCACTCAGTCCCTCCTAGGTGCTTCAAGACTAATATCAGGAAGTAATATCAGTCTAAATTATAATCAAATATTTACAGTGATTCAAAAGAATAATATCAGTCTAAATAATAACAAAATTTACAAATATCAAAGTCTAAATAATATGTCTAATATCAAAGTCTAAATAATGTTTAATATCAAAGTCTAAATAATATGTTTAATATCAAAGTTTAAATAATATGTCTGATATCAAAGTTTAAATAATATGTCTAATATCAAAGTCTAAATAATATGTCTAATATCAAAGTCTAAATAATATGTCTAATATCAAGGTCTAAATAATATCAAAGTCTAAAATATATAAATACAATTTACTGTTATTTGTGAAAACTGACTTTGACTAGCTCGGAACTGGTGGAAATTTAACTCCGATTTTCACATTGATTTAATATTATATTTCGTCAAATTGTGGTTAATTACTTTTCAAAGTAAACAATCACAAATAATTTAAATCATTTCAGGTTTACTACCTAGCCAATGACAAGTTTTCATATCCATCAGCAGGGTTGTGATTGGGCAAGAAGTGACTACAGCTACTCAAAGCTTCCCTTTCCCAAACACACTTGCTGTGTAAATATATAACAGCATTTTACATGTAAAAATTGCTGTAAATTGTACTTAAATGCTTGTAATAAGTAACTACTAAATTATAGGCTAGATATGTAGCCATGATATGTGTGTAATTACCTAAGTATAACTACCTAATTGTAGCTACAGGATGTGGTGTCCTGTCTTCCCAGCTAATATCATATGACTTGTGTGTGTGTGTGTGTGTGTGTGTGTGTGTGTGTGTGTGTGTGTGTGTGTGTGTGTGTGTGTGTGTGTGTGTGTGTGTGTGTGTAGAGGTAATTAGGGTTTAAGGTAATGTAATTGAAATAATTTGAACAACACTGGGTTATTTATTGACAAGATTCAATGGTGTCTATCACTCATTTAGTTTTTTAAATTCTTAGAAATTCTAATAAAACGAGGTTAAATAATTATTCGCCATAAATTTATATCCAGCCTTTTAAATAATCTTACAAACTTCAACTGTAAACAAATATATATATATATATATATATATATATATATATATATATATATATCATATATATAATATGCTAAATATTTGAATAAATACATCATAAAATTCTGCGGGAGTACTCAGCTGGACTCACCGCCACCAGGGACTCGCTGGACTCGGAGGGCGAGGATGGCGGGTATTCGTTGGATCTGTCCCGCTTGCCAAATCTGAGGAAGTTACGATCGCGGCCGAAGCGCAGGAAGTTACGATCATGTGCGCGTTTGTTTACGTCCTGTGGATCCTCTGAGGACACGGTGATTATCTCCTCTTCAGGCTGGAATCCTCTGGCCCAGGAGGAGGGGCTGTAGGATAGCATTGACCCGTAGTCATAAAAGGTTGGGTCGACGGCTCTCTTCATGCGCTGAGAAGTGCTGCCACTGGGGTTTGAAGCCTCAATGCTGTGGGTAGAGATGTCTTTCTTGGTGCTGGTCACGGGCTGGACCGGGGTGGGTGACGGGGTGGAGGACACTGAGGTTTTGGGACCATCACAACCATCACAAGACAGGGCGTTGAGCTGACTGTCGACGGAGCGGCCGAATCGCAGGAAGTTGCGGTCTCCGCGCCCAAATCTGGGAGAGAAACACAGTGAATACAGATACTGAAGCTCGTAAATGTAACTGCGAAACAAAACACGATCGAGGCTGCCAACTCCAGCAGGATGGATGGTTCAGCGACTTATTTTAAACATCATGTTCCCGAATCATGATTCAGAAACATTATTACAAGGTTAAAAGTTTGTAGCAATGCAAAATTAAAGTTGAGGATGTGTTATATGGTTGTTAGGACTGTAATGTAATTGTTAACCCGCTTCTTATTTTATTGTTAACCCGTTTCACACCATTCTGAACCTGTTTACCCAGCCCGTCTTCATAAACAAAGACCAAAGTCCATTCCATGCACCCACCAAACCCCGTTTATGAATGAAAAAAGTTTACACACGACTCACAACTGATGACGTCTGAACACTTCCGGAACAAGTGCTTCGCTGACGACTTTTGTTCGAACCACAACGCTGTAAATGCTTCACCCACGTACTACAAATGCAAATAATCGCCAACAGAACCTAAACACCCAACTTTACCAATGCTTAAATATTCACAGTATGCTAATATATTACAATATTAATTTATATTTGAAAAAAATCATATTTTAAATGACCATGATGTTAAAATTTATGAATACGTCTTTGGGGTCGACTGCTGGATGGAATGGACTTGGTGTGAGGACGGGTTGGTTGTACCGTGTATTAAACCTGCTCCACACTATTCTGAAACAGTTTTGTCATGTCTTAAAACAAGCCTATCCTATTTTAATGTCTGTGCCCAAATCTGAAGATATTTAACCCAACTTTCCATCTCTTATTTTATCTTGCACAAACAACATTATTTTAAATAATTTTAAGCTTTTTTTTTACATTCGTATTCACAAAACTTGAACAAAGATCCCCACTACGTGTGGTGTTGTGTGTTGCTGGAGAAGTCTTGGTTGTAGGGTTGATATAAAGCCATCGCTTGGTTACTGACTTTTAGGACAGGAGACATCTCCTGTCACGTAGGGTGCAGTCGCACCTCCACAGATCTCCAGTATCAGCTCTTGATACTGGTAATGGCTCAAAAGGGCCACCACTTACGGGCTATTCATGCCCGTGCCACCTTTTGGGTGGCTTAATCTTCATCAATCAATCAATCACTGACTTTAATACTAATAAAGATACATGCCTAGTAGCGTTCAAGTTTGGCGGGCGAACTGTACGCTCTCTGTTGTTTACATACTGCTGGCGTATGAAACGCAGCGCATACAAACGGATGGCGCCGTTGTTTTAGATTCAGCTACTCTGAACAAAATTTCCAAGTAGCACGGGCTATGGTGAGCCCGTAGTGGACTTACCTGGCACAGGAGCGAGGCTGTGTATGTGTCGGATGGTCCCGTTTGCTATGAACATGACACTACTAACCTGGGGAAGTTCCGATTTCCTTTGACGAGGTGACGGTAGCTCTTGTGTGGAGAACGCTTCTCCTGGAAGGGCAGGTCTTCCTGATCCACCTCGTCCAGGAGACCAGCAGGGAAGTCCATGGGTCCTCCAGCGAGGCTCAGATCCTCCATGTCAGATCTCCCAAACCTGAGGAAGTTGCGCGAGTGATCGCGTCCGAATCTAAGGAAGTTACGGCTTCGTTTATCGAGGGAATCGCTGAGTCCCCCTTCATCCCTGTTATCGTAGTCGCCAAGATCGCTGCGACCGAACCTGTGTCAGCGGGTAGCGGATTGATACATATACGCTTGTAGGCATATACATATTCTTGAGGAAGACAGAGGTGATATATTCAACCCCCGCAGTGAAAAATGCGAGGGCTAGGCAGGAATATAATGATAACAGGCAGCGTAGATATTATTCATGAATTATCAGGAATGGGTTATAATATGCAGGCATAGTTCCTAGTCATGGGGGATTTTACCCATGGGGGTGATAAATTGGGAATAATGAGTCCCTGTGGCGGAATACATTCCTGGGATGTAAGACTGGTAAATATCATGATATTTACCAGTCTTATATATTTATCACGTCACATATTTATATATGATATTTATCATATATTTATCACGTCACAGAATGTTGACCAGACCACACACTAGAAGGTGAAGGGACGACGACGTTTCGGTCCGTCCTGGACCATTCTCAAGTCGATTGTCGACGTGAGAATGGTCCAGGACGGACCGAAACGTCGTCGTCCCTTCACATTCTAGTGTGTGGTCTGGTCAACATACTTTAGCCACGTTATTCTGACTCATCGCCTGCACGTCACAGAATGTTCTGTGACGTGTTCAATAATTAAACTTTTTTTCACTTTACCAACCTGAGGAAATTGCGGCTTCTCTTGTCGTCATCGTTCCGTCCGAACCTGAAGCGAACGGAAAGACGGTTACATGTTGTGTTCGAAATTTAAATTTTAGTTTGTTCCTGGATAGTAAATGCTATTTCGTAACGGCTTTTCTCTCTCTCTCTCTCTCTCTCTCTCTCTCTCTCTCTCTCTCTCTCTCTCTCTCTCTCTCTCTCTCTCTCTCTCTCTCTCTCTCTCTCTCTCTCTCGCTCTCTCTCTCTCTCTCTCTCTCTCTCTCTCTCTCTCTCTCTCTCTCTCTCTCTCTCTCTCTCTCTCTCTCTCTCTCTCTCTCTCTCTCTCTCTCTCTCTCTCTCGCGCTCTCTCTCTCTCTCTGCACATGTTTTTGTCCCTTGTTGTTTCAGAATAGGAGATAAGATAAAACTGAAAAAACTTTTTTTCTTAAATACGAAAGACGTAGTTTAAACTTCTTCACACATTGAAGAAGTTTATAAGTAGCCTCAGGGGATGATGAGAGAGCTAGAAATAATCTAACTTAACAAGAATATTTTTTCAAACAATAGCCACAGGATGGAAGAGTCTCGACGTAGCCTTAGCTAATGAGAATGATCCAAAAGCAGTAGACTGAGCAGCCAAGAAGATGTCCGGAGAGTAACAATGACTATAGCTGTATAATGCCTGCCAGTACCCTCCTTTCTTCCCATAACAGAAGTACTTCCAGGTAGCAAAGATAGACCTAAGAGAGTTACGTTTGGTAGCTGCAGTCTACTTTTGCTTGAGGTCGGTAGTGAATTATCAGGGGGGGAAAGCGCCAAGTCATTCCGACTATATAGCACTGGGAAGGGGGTCAGGATAAGGATTTGGGATGGGACGAGGGGAAGGAATGGTGCCAACCACTTGGACGGTCGGGGATTGAACGCCGACCTGCATGAAGCGAGACCGTCGCTCTACCGTCCAGCCCAAGTGGTTGAGGTCGGGGTGAGAGAGATTAGCCTCCTCCAATCCACCCAGTTAACTCCGAAACACACTTCCTTGTATGAATTCTCGCTCGCTCATTATCTCATTCTCTCTCGTATCGCAAATGAAAGGTCCTGAGTTCGATTCCCGGGATAGTTTGGGATGATTGGGAACTATTCCTTCTCTGCCACTGGGCATCCAGCAGTAATCTGGGACATGGATGAAAGTGATTTGGTGGATTGTGCTTCGTGGAATTCACGGCTATGAACAATCTAACCACTTTCCATAAATGGTCAATGATCTAAATAGCAATATATTGATACTCTCTCTGTCTCTCTCTCTGTCTCTCTCTCTCTCTCTCTCTCTGTCTCTCTCTGTCTCTCTCTGTCTCTCTCTGTCTCTGTCTCTGTCTCTGTCTCTGTCTCTGTCTCTCTCTCTCTCTCTCTCTCTCTCTCTCTCTCTCTCTCTCTCTCTCTCTCTCTCTCTCTCTCTCTCTCTCTCCATTCCCCCTCCTCTTCCCACTTATCAATTCTGTCTACTACACTCTTCTTTCTTCACCCTTCTCATCATGATTAATTAATTTCAAATATTCGTTCTCTCTCTCTGTCTCTCTCTCTCTCTCTCTCTCTCTTCTCTCTCTCTCTCTCTCTCTCTCTCTCTCTCTCTCTCTCTCTCTCTCTCTCTAAATACGTATATTTACAGTTTATATTTTCAAGTCTATCTCAGCCTTCCACTTACTCTTATACTAAAACCTCCTTTTTTATGTTCCATCAGTCTTTAATTTTATCTCCAATCACAGACCCCAGACCTCATTCTTATCGCAGATTCTCATTTTCTCTCAATTCCAGCGTTATATAAAATTTCATCCTTCCCATCTTTCTCTCAACTTCCTTCTCAGTATTACCCCATACTTCAGTCTCCCATTCTTACACCTTATTCTCCCGTTTTCTGTGTCTGTGTTGCCACAGCTTTCAGCTACCTTCGTCACCTCAGTAGCATAAGATTAAACGGTCACAGTTGGCCCTATATAAGTAACAACAAACTGCTCACCTCAAGTAGTTCCTATCGCTGTAGGCTCTCTTGGAGCCCTCCTGACTGATGGGGTACAAGTCTCCGCCATCGTCCATCCATGCCTGGCTTCCTGGGAGGAAATATTTGAGTAATCTCTTCTCAGGCTGAGCTACGGAGTCGTCTTCGCTGTTGTTGGAGCCGAAGCCCTGAGAGGGAGAGCTGAGGGCGGCTGCGACGGGCGGGACTGGGGCAGCATGGGCGGCGTGGGCGTAGGAACACCAGGTAAACGTTGCCAGTAACACCCAGGCTGCTAGAGGCATCACGCAAGATCTGGGGATGAGAGGTAAATACGATTAGAATACGTCAAAACTCGAATATTATAATTGTACGTCAAATGTACTAACCAGGGGCCAGATTCACGATAGCACTTACGCAAACACTTACGAACCTGTACATCTTGTCTCAATCTTTGGCGGCTTTGTTTACAATTATTAAACAGTTAATGAGCTCAAAAGCACCAGGAGGCTGTTTATAACAATAACAACAGTTGAAAGGGAAGTTTTCATACTTGTAAACTATTTAATAAATGTAACCAAAGCCGTCAAAGATTGAGGAAAGATGTACACGTTCGTAAGTGTTTGCGTAAGTGCTTTCGTGAATCTGGCCCCATATCATTAACGGGGACTCTTCCAAACTCTTACAATAATGCATTTACTGAACATGGTGCCTCTGTTCACCCAGCAGTAAATAGGTAGCCAGGAGTTATTAAACTGTTGTGGGTTTACATTCTAGGGAACGTCACGCTTTGGTCTAGCGAGACGTGAGTACAACTAAGTGGATTCAAATTCCTGAGTACAAGCCGATGGTTACATATCTGTGAGTACAACTGAGTACAAGTGGGTGAGTACACACTCACGCTATGCACTCATAACCTCACCTGAAACAAATCAACTAAGACTGAAGACTATTACAACTTTTAAACGCCTCAAAATGTTTCATTTTTCAAACTGAATCGTGATTCGATAATCGTTTAAGAGTTGTAAATCAGGAGCTTTGATTCACTGCTTTTATGATTCATAGGCGTGGGCAGCACATTATAGGACTGATCAAGCAACATTATAGGACTGATCTAGCAACATTATAGGACTCATCTAGCAACATTATAGGACTGATCAAGCAACATTATAGGACTCATGTAGCAACATTATAGGACTGATCTAGCAACATTATAGGACTGATCTAGCAACATTATAGGACTCATGTAGCAACATTATAGGACTCATCTAGCAACATTATAGGACTCATCTAGCAACATTATAGGACTGATCAAGCAACATTATAGGACTGATATAGGACTGATCTAGCAACATTATAGGACTCATCTAGCAACATTATAGGACTCATCTAGCAACATTATAGGACTCATCTAGCAACATTATAGGACTCATCTAGCAACATTATAGGACTGATCTAGCAACATTATAGGACTGATCTAGCAACATTATAGGACTGATCTAGCAACATTATAGGACTGATCAAGCAACATTATAGGACTGATCTAGCAACATTATAGGACTCATCTAGCAACATTATAGGACTCATCTAGCAACATTATAGGACTCATCTAGCAACATTATAGGACTGATCAAGCAACATTATAGGACTGATCTAGCAACATTATAGGACTGATCTAGCAACATTATAGGACTCATCTAGCAACATTATAGCATTCATCTAGCAACATTATAGGACTCATCTAGCAACATTATAGGACTGATCAAGCAACATTATAGGACTGATCTAGCAACATTATAGGACTCATCTAGCAACATTATAGGACTCATCTAG